CTCAGAGGTGTAGTAAGTGTAAGGACAAGGAAGATTAGAGAGTTCCAGGAATATGTGAGTAGGAAGATTGCACAGTTCCAGGAATATGAGAGTGGGAAAACACCTTTGAATGGAGCTTGTTCTGTGCAGAGGTTTGGCTGTGCAGCAGATCTCTCTCAGAGTTTTTCAATTCAAACTACTTTTCATCTGGTTTTGAGAGCTCCAACTGTATCACAGAGGGTTGGAATCCACAACTCTCAGGAGTTCTGTGTACTGGAAAAATGTAAAAAAGCAGTTTCCACACTAATATTGTCTCCTCTAATCTGGTGACATTATGCTGATTTTTAAGCAATTCTATTAGGGAAATCAGATCACAAAGCTTTTGTGAAGAGCTATTTACACTACTTGATATTATTTTTAATTGCATTCTGATCTCTCATCATTTAGTGTTTGATGCTTGAGCACCAAATTTTCAAATTAGAGCAATTTCAAGTAGCATTTTCAGGAATAGCTAGAGCACTTTGGAGTCCAAATTCATGGATATATTCTGCTTGGGAACTGGGGCATTTTTCAAGGGATTTTGCTCTGTGGATATGCTGTTCAGCACAGGTCTCAGCCTTTCTGTAGCTCACAGAGCCATGGAAAAGAGAGGAGAATGTCAGAGGAGATCAGGAGTGCTTGTGGCCGTGCCTAGCTTTCTGTAGCTCACAGAGCCATGGAAAACAGAGACAGAGGAGACCAGGAGTGCTTGTGGCTGTGCCCAGTGCCCTGTGCCCCTCCTGCCCACTGCTCACCTGTGCAGTCTGTGCCTGCTGACACACTAGCTGGTATTAAAAGGATTTGCTGAGTCGTGGTGCTGGCACTGAGGAGGTGACAGAAATAGTAGAGCCCTTGTTCAGCAGCAACCTCACACCAGAGGAGTGGCTGACAGGGCTGCACTGCAGGATGCACAGAGGGTGGTTTAGCTGGGGCACTGGGAATGGTTTACAGGATACCAGCACATCTGTAGGCTTGGTTCTCAGCCCTCACCATCATTCTTTGCATTTCCTTGTGACCACCTGAAATACTTATGTCTTATCTGTGTTATTTCTAGCACAAAATGATCATTTCCTTGTGACCACCTGAAATACTTATTTCTATAATCTGTGTTATTTCTAGCACAAAACGATCGTGTACTGCTAATTGCTCACTAACCTGAACATACTTTCAAACAGCTCAACAGAAAAAGAGAAGCCCTAGAATTTTCCTTTTCAAGCTCAACGTTTTAGCCCAGATTTCTCCCAAATCTGGCAGAGCTAGGAGAGTTCACAGATTCACAGCTCCAGAGCTGGAGCTGCTGCTGCACAAACTCAGCTGAGCTGGTTGGCAGTGCCATGGTATATACATCGTTACCAATGCCAATTGATCCTTGCTTAGGATAACAGCAGAAAAGGGATGAAATGGGAGGAAATGTGCACATGCCATGGCTTTCCCTGGGTGTGCACTGCTCACCTGAGCTGCTCTGCTCGCTCCCCACTGTGTCCTGTATTTTGCTCCAGCAGTGCCCTCTGCTGAGAGCATGGAATGTGTCCCGACAGTTGTATTTCCCTGAGCCTCGAGCGTTTGAAATCCAGTCCTCAAAAATCATCTCCCTCTAAAAACACAGAGAAAGAAAAGATATAATGATATCGCATTTGTTTGGGGTTTAGTCTGTAGAAACGATTTAGCTGTGCCTCAAAACCAGCCCCTGTTGGCTGGAGACACTTGGAACTGTGAGCACGAGACAGGGAACAACTGAGTTCTGGTCTCTTGCTCCATCTTGAGCACTGCAGAAGTTTTGTGATGCACCAGAGTTGGTCTGAGATCAAGACTCAGAGTTGAGCTGAGGTCCAGGTTGGTGACACAACACTGATGTTCTTCTTTCAGTTCCATCAGTCTCATATTTCCCCTCCAAACCCTCAACGTTCTGCTCTCCATCTTCTGACTCTAATCCTTCAGCCACCTAACTGCTTTGGGTTAAAGCTGAATTCACATTCATTCCATTTTGGAAAATCCTCACAGAATTTTCAGCTGCTGCTGTGAGCATTCAGCCCCACAAGGTCTGGGCAGATTTTGCTCTTGATAAAGGTTGTGCTTTCAGCAGCTCATCCATGTCGTGGCAAACATGTTTTCCAGTTTGGGCTGTCCTAGCAACCCAGCGGTAATTGGTGATGCTCTGGGTAGGTAACCCAAATATTTAAACCCAGGAGTGGTTAAAGTTTAATCCACTGTCAGGATGATGATGATGTGGCAGCAGAAGCTGCGTGTGAGGATTCATTCTGCTCCTGGGGAACAAGGTGGCAGTAACTCCCCAGGGCTCTTGGGGAGTATGGGATGAGCCAATAGACCTTGTTAAGGGCTGAAAGAAGGATTTTCCATCATGAATGGATTCCCAAACTGCTCTTCTAACTACACAAACATTTGGAATCATTATTTAGTGCTTGCCCTGGGCATCCCTCAGCTGACCATCAACGTGGCATCCATGATCTTCAACTGCACAGTCATCTTCACCCGACTGGCCACGAAGGACCTGCACAAACCCATCTCCATTCTCTTCTGCAACTTGGCTGTTTCTGACCTCTTCACCAGCTTCTCTGGCTTTTGGATTGCCATGCTGTTCATCACCAATCCTGACATCACAATCTTTGGATCCAAGGATATGTTGGCCCCTTATGCCTTGTACACCACATCTATTTTATCCACCGTCTATAACCTGGTAAGCATCGGGGTCGAACGCTACCTGGCTGTGGCTGAGAGCATGAGGACAAGATTCAGGGTGGCCAGAAAACACTCCATAGCTGTTGTTTTCATTAACTGGGTCCTTGCTTTCTTTCTGGGCTGCTTGCCACTGATGGGGTGGAATTGCTTGCACGGGGAGAAGAGTGTCTCAGTCCTCTACAGCCCATTTTGTGTTAACTACCTCGTCTTCATCACCATCCCCAACGTCGTGGTGGCCTTTATCATACCCCTGTTCACTTACCTCAGGATCATTATCATCCTGAGGAAGAGAAAGCTGAGGATGAAGGCATGTGGGCAAGCCACTGGCACCTACAAATCAGCTGAAATCCAGGTGGCCAGAACCAGCATCTTCATCTGGCTCCTGGCACTGATCTCCTATGCTCCTTTCTTCGCAGGAGTCATATTCGATGCAACCAACCACCAGTGCCACATTGACCTCTACCCAGGGGTCTACATCTTCAGGAACTGCACAGCTATGCTGATAACCATCAACTGCTTGGGGAACCCAATCATCTACACCCTCAAAGTCAAGATTCTGGGGGCCAAGCTCAAGGCTCTGAAGTGCCTTTCCTCCAACGGCATCCGAGCCTGCACCATCGAGAACATCTAGCTGGGCGTGACCTTCTCCAGCACTGCTGGTGTGCCTGACCTGGTGTGCAGTGTGGTCTGAAGTCACTCTGGATTCAGATGGATTAAAAAAAACTGTGGATGTGGCACTTGAGGATGTGGTTTGGCTGTGAACCACATCCAAAACATGGTGGTGGTGGGTTGGCAGTTGATGGTCTCAAAGGTCTTTTCCAACCTTAATGATGCTATGATTGTATTCCTGCCTGTGCCTGGCACCCAGGAGGTTGAGCACCCAGTGAGGGCACAACACTGGTGTGCAGAAATCAGTGTGGGATCCTTGGAAGTGGGGCAGGAGCTCTGTGGCTCTCCCAGCAGCTTTCTCAACCCTCAGCAGTGAGTGACTCTGCTGGTTCGCAGCTCTCCTCTGTGAAGCAGAGCAGTGTGAGCTCCTGGCTTGTCTTGCCATTAAGTGGGATCAGGGGAGCTGTTTTCCTTGGAGATAAAAATAACTCCATTAGCCTTGTTTACTTTGTGTTTGGAAATCTGCTGCCGCTGCGCTCCCCGTGGTTTGTGTGGGGTTGAAGACAGTTAAATGGCTGGAAAAATTCTCAGTACTGTGGGGGAAAACATCGTTTTACTTTCTCATTGAGTCAAACTGTCTGACTGGTGGGTGAATCTGTCACCAGGGTGCTCAGCCCTGTTTTCCTGCTGTCATTTTAACTGCAGTGTGTAGCTGGTTGACAAGTTTTGGGAGGCATTTGTGGCTGCACCTCTCTTATCTCTGCTTGTATCGAGCCCATGGCTGGTGAAATTTGCAGTGTTCTAGGTGAAAACCTCAGCTGGATTCTTCAGCATCAGAACTGCAGTCGAGTTGCCTGTGCAAAACAAAGTAAAAGATCAAGACTAAGTATTTTGTGAAAGGAAAAGGTTTTACCCCTTCCCTCTCCAGAAAAAGAAGTTGGCTATTGAGTATTTAGTTAGCAGACATTGTCCTGTCAGATCCTAGTGGAGATGGTTGTTAATTCTTAGTTGCATGGGATGTTTTCTAGAAGAATCTCTGAGCTCTTGCACTTTAGAAGCCTGGACTGACCAGACCTGGTGCAATTAGCTCCTCTTGCTGGGTTGAAGTGTGCTCAGACACTGCTCTGTGGTGTTTCATCAATGTGCATCAATAAAATTCCACCAACAATCCATGCAGGGATGATGTTCTCACATCCATCACACACACACTCCCCACTCTCAGTGCAGGGTGGAGTTTTCAGGAATTTCTCTTCAGTTTCTTTGCTTTGTTGCCACTGATTCACCACTGAAAAGCTTTGAGTGAACTAAGGGGAAAATCCCATCACTCTGCTCCTGAGCAGGTGTGAGAAAAGAGCTGTTTTGGATAAGAAATGGGTTCACCCACTGATAGAACAGATGGGAATTGCCACCATGTTAACAAATCCAACACTCAGTGGTTTTCCTTCTTTGCTGTCAAACCCTTTTCCTGTGCTGCTTCACACTGGAGAACTCTGGGGGAATTTCTCTTGCCTGCATTAAATAGGGAATGGATGGCATTAAGTGATAAAGAATCAACCTGAATTATTTAAATGGCTAATGTAACTCAGGCAAGAGAAATGTTTCTCTCCATTTCTCCTTTGGAGCACTGCTGCCCTGTCAGGGCTTCTGGGAACTCCTCCAGCCCCAGCAGGTGCTTGACTGGACCCTGAACACCTGCAATTCACCCTAAACTGAACAGCAGGAGGCTCAGCCAAGACTTCCCCCAGGGCAGATGGTGAGGCTGGGCCTGGGGGTGGTTTGGTGATGTGCTATTTGCTCTGTGATGTGATTCCTGTCCATATCCGTGTTGACATTGACCGGGTGACAGGTAATGAGCAGAACACTCAATGTGTCACTGCCTGTGGCTCTGTCACTGTGGGAGCCAAGGGGACAGCTGGAATTCTGCCAGAGCCCCTCACTGCATTGGCAGCTCTAGATCTGTGACTCTTTGTATCTCTAGATATCTGTCTGTGTCTCATATATTTACCAATAGATCTGTATCTCTTTACATATATTTATGTGTCTCTATCTCTGCGTGTAGCTTTCTATCTCTCCCTATTTCTATCTATATCTAATTAATAGCTATCTTTCTGTCTGTATCTCTAGATATCTGTAACTATATCTCATATCTTTTATATCTCTCGTACCTTGTCTCTATATCTATGCATCTACATAACGATATCTGTATATGTATCTCTAGATCTGTCTGTATCTCTAGCTTTAGCTCTCTCTTTGTATCTCTCTATGTATCTATTTAATAGCTATATATCTATACATCTATATTTCTGCTTCTAGATCTTTATCTCTAGATACCTATACTTATATCTACATCGCTATACCTGTATATCTCTACCTATCTCTCTTTCTTTCTCTTTCCTCTCTCTTTTCCTCTGTTTTTCTCTCTCTTTCTCAC